TTTATCTATCTTCCATTCAAACCTCACCACCATGGGCAAGACCAAAGAGCTGTCAAAGGAAAGGTACAAGATTGTAGACCTGCACAAGGCTGTAATGGGCTTCAAGACCATCAGCAAGAAGCTTGGTGAGAAGGAGACAACTGTTGGAGTAGTTATTCACAAATGGAAGAAATACAAACTGACCATCAGTCGCCCTCGGTCTGGAGCTCCATGCAAGATTTCACCTCATGGGGTAAGGATGATCATGAGAAAAGTGAGGGATCATCCCAGAACTACACAGGAGGAGCTTGTGAATGATCTCAAGGCAGTTGGGACCACAGTCACCAAACAAACCATTGGTAAAACAGTACGCCACCATGGATTGAAATCCTGCAGCACCCCTAAGGTCCCACTCCTCAAGAAGGCACATCTACAGGTCCATCTGAAGTTTGCCAGTGAACATCTAAATGATTCAGAGAAGGATTGGGAGAAAGGATTAAGGCATTAAGGTCATGGAGTGGCCTAGCCAGTCTCCAGACCTTAATCCTATGGAAAATCTATGAAGGGGGCTGAAACTTCAAGTTGCTGGCAAACAACAGCCAATAAACTTTAAGGATTTAGAGAAGATCTCTAAAGAAGAGTGCACCAAAATCGCTCCTGAGATGTGCACAAACCTGCTGACCAGCTACAAGAAACATCTTACCTCTGTGCTTGCCAAAACGGGTTTCTCCACCAGGTACTAAGTCATGTTTTGCTTGGGGATTAAATACTTATTTTACTCACTGAAATGCAACTCCATGCAAGATTTCACCTCATGGGGTAAGGATGATCATGAGAAAAGTGGGGGATCATCCCAGAACTACACAGGAGGAGCTTGTGAATGATCTCCAGTTTATAACATTTGTATCATGTGCTTTTTGGGGGATTTTGTGTTGACATTCTGTTTCTGTACTTTAGAATAAACCTATGATAAAAAATTATAGACCCTTCATTTCTTTGTAAGTGGGCAAACCTACGAAATCAGCAGGGGATCAAATAATTATTTTCCCACTTTAGATTCTTTAGGTAGCTATAAAAATGACTCCATGTAAATGCTAATGTTGCTCAGCGTTATACAGTAACAGATATGTTAATAGTGTGTTTACAGCCTGTTCTGGTGCTGCCCAAAGATGAACAAGTGCAGCTTTAATTTCCCACATACCGTGCCTGGTTTGCTTTTGCACTTCAAATAATAGGTTTTGGGGACAAACAGTGCAAAATAACACATGGCAATAGACGTTGTAGCAATAAATACATAAAGTGTGGACAAACATTTTAAAAAGTAACAATTAACTCCTCCTGGAAAGTTTCTTTGCAAAAAAAAAAAAAAAAAATTAAGAAGTTGTATGTATTCTGGACTATTACAGTGGATCAATTCACATTATTCTGGTTTTTGTCTTGTTTCCTTTCACTGTATATTGTAAGGTTTAGGGCAGGAGCTTTTTATAATGAATGCACATTCTACAAAAACCTTGAACATTCTAAGCTTGACAGAGGTTGTAAAATTTAAGGATTGATGAATTGTCCCTACCAGGTTTCCACATCCTCATCTGTGGTTGCGGAGAAGGAAAGGAAAGTATTGTACACCAGAAGTCAACCAGACAGCAGCGTTCAGTGGGATTCCCTGGGTGGAGAAGCAGAGGAGACAAAGGAGGAGTTGATGGATATGACTGGGGAGCCCTTAAAGCCTGCCATGGTTCGTTTTGTCCTAGAGGAGAGCAGCGGATACATGGAGCCCATGCTACGGATTCTGGCTGTCCTGCACACTGTCATCTCCTTTTTCTGCATTATTGGATACTACTGTCTCAAGGCAGGATACTAAATACTGATATGTGGCAGAAATAATCTAAAACTTTGTACAGTATTTTTCACTTAAAACTCATTTTGTATTGAATCTGTCATTTTTCAAAAGTTTCTAATTCATGATTGGAATTGCCTGAAATCGAATAGTACCACTATATTGTTTGTTTTGGTGTGTGCGTGTGTTGGCACATGTCTGGTATTACTCACACTGCGGGGATTGAAACCTGTTTACACATTCAAATTGAGGAGACTCGGCCTTCCCTGTGGGGACCAGATGCTGGTCCACACCTTGTAAATCACTGCATTTTAGGGTGATGACTGTTTAATGTTAAGATGAGGTTAGGTTTAGGTTAAAAGCAGAGTAAGGGTACAGGTTAGACAAGTAATGTTTAAGGTTATGTCTGGGCAAGGTACCTTCAGTACCATAGAAAAGAAGTACCATCACATTTTCAGATTTTTGGTATTGACCTCGTACCGAAGTATCAGCTCTCGTAACTGTTAAGGAACGCTCGCACACAGAAGTGAGCGAGCGAAGGAGAGGCGGACCCAGGTAGCTGACTTCAGTGCAAGCAGTGATTTATTACAATACAGTGCAATATGGTGATAAACAATAAGTCAGTAGATGATGATGAAAGGGGGAACCGGGTGTCGACCAGCAGCAGGAGTAGAGGAATGAAGAGTAGGAATGAGGTGGGCTGAGCTGCGTCGCGGGGTCACTTCTGGGCTGGTTGGTGGGCGATGGTGGCTACTGAAGAAACACAGGCAGAAAGGTGATGAGATGGAGACAACTGGTGACTGTGCATTGACCTGTCTGGAAGGGTTGAAATGTGACAAGGTTCGGAGGAAATAGTGGTCTGTAGTGATGTGACGTTCCGTATCGAGGCTTCGAAGCGTGTGCCGAGTAGGGGAGGGGGTGTTTCCGCGATGCGCGTATTGAGGCTTGCGTCATTTAGGAGAGGAGCTGAAAATGATGACGTCCGAAGCCTCGCTGCCCGGCTGTACCACGTGATTGATTCAGGTAGTGGTTTGGATTTTGCCGCGAGTTTTGACAGCGATATAAACCCCCCAGGCTCCATTCAAAATTGAGG